GAATGACCAATCAGTTTCCATTTCCATATTGGTTATAATTGAATGAGTACGACCATACTTCGCCACTGTGGCCCTACATATCACATCACAAATCCACTCTTGTAAGAAGGAACGCCAATCTCATTCACATGGAACAATTCACCAACATTTTCAGAGATAGAGTAGAGAGAGAAAGAAACCCCTCAGCGATAACAATTAAACGGATTTGTTATTATTTTTCCTTTCTTATTCTTTTTTATTCATAACGATCACACATTCAGAACCCAGTGGGGGTCCAATAACATATCCGGCCCAAGGTCCATTTTACCCGTACTTAACCATCAGATCATTCTCTTGAGCCAAGACCCTTTAGAATGACCCTCTTCACCATTATTAAAGATAAGGCAAATGGCCAAACCCGCTTGCATTTCGAATCATCATGTTTTATATCCATCATGCTTAACATTCCACATTCTTATATTCAAATAAATCAATAATCATTCATAATAGAAATTCATGCATAAAAATCATTCAACTTTCCAATTTAACCTTTATAGAAAAACTTAGAAATGTAAGAGAAAATACCAAAAGAATCATTTACTGAAACCGTAGTTTGATTTGTCCTTTGGAAGGGGAAGAAAAGGTTTTAGTGATCTTTGAACGAAGTTTTGGGAACTCTTACTCCTTTTCTTCTTTCTTACTTTCTTTCTCTCTCTAAATTTTCAAGAAAATGGAAGAAAAGAGAAGTGAAAATGGAGGAGAAATGGGGAGGAAAGAACTCTTTAAATAGATTTAGAAGGAGCTTTAGATGCTCGCCACATGGCAATCATCCACAGAGGACATGTGGTGAGGGTGGGTGGCTGGTTGCATGTCAATCGAGGCGATAAGCCGCGCGGTAGGGGGCTGACCGCGACGTGACCGCGTGGCAGGGTCCGGATGGCATGGGCGTGTCTGTGCGTAGGACAGCAGCGCACACAGCACGCGGCCAGGTGCTGGCGTGCACAGCAGCGCGCACAGTACCACACACAGTACCGCGCACAGTGGCGTGCTGGCATGTGCGCACAATGCCACGCACAGGCAGCTGACACATGCAACCTGCACGATGTGACCTCGCGCAGGCACAAGCACAGTGCCCTCGCATGTGCACGGGCTGCTTTTCCGCGGGCCTGGGGGAATTTTTCCCCGTTTTCCATTTTCCGAATTTTCTTTCGATTTCTTTCCTTTACTTTTCCTGAAAATACTTTTAAACAAAATAAATAAAACAATGATAATTCAAAATATTAAAAATTAGCGTAAAGCAAAAATATTGATAAATCTAAATACATATAAGAATTAAATTAGTCATGAGACCCAAAATAATAGAGTTTTAACACCACGGTTAAGTGCATAGATCTCGGGATGTTACACATTCCTTACTAGATAAGCTCATGGGTAATGATTGCAACATTGAAAACTATTGTAGTTAGTATCATAACCAAGCGCCTAAAATTCAAATCTGAGTGTTGTTCACTTCCTGTTCGTTAAATGTCAGCCAAGCCCATTTCTATTCCTTAAATATCAGTACAAGGTATATCCCCATAGTATTCATTAAAAATCAGCACATTTCAAAAAATTAAATTTCACCAGAAGTTATAGAAACATCCCTGTTTCATCCAAGCCTCTGCCCTAGTTGCAGCTCATGGGTTAATCCATACACCATCCAGCCAATAAATGGTTTGTTAATAACTCCTACCTTATCAATCGGGAAGATTTGAACACTTGCTACAACTTATTATTCATACGATTTATCAAATCTCCCGTAATTGTTAGAATGCATAGGGTTAATTAGAATATACAAGTCATTAGCGCAATCGCAAACATTTAAGCAAGGATATTCATATACGATTTACAGAAATTTATACCGTTATTTGACATATAGATACATATAACTACGAACAGAGGCATAAACAAATATATATGCGGGACGATAGTGAGGCAGACCTGAAGTTGAGGAACTGGCCGAAGACGATGAGGGGCCAGAAGAACAGCGGTGGAGGCCATGAAGGAGAAGAGACAGAGAAGAGAGAAACAAACTGAACCAGCTTCAGCGCGTGGGACACGTACGCCATCACCTTGGAAGGATCCCGCCCCTTCCCGCACAGGTTCACCCATGTCTGCGGCTGCGTCCACAGCCACCAGTAGAAAGGAAATGGCGCTAAAACCCCCATTCCTGCCAGCAACCCCATTTTGTTTTTCTTATGTAAAAGTCTAATTCTTCCTCTGCTACTCCTTTATCTTTTCCTTCTAATTTTCTCGGGAAAATACAGAGTGGAGATTTGTAACAACTAAATTTATTATTTTTAATTTATTTTAATTTATATTATAATTTTAATTTATTTTTTAATATTTAATTTATAAATTTTTAATCTAATTTAATTTAATTAAATAAAAATAAAAATAATAATAATAATAAAATATGGTAAAATTATTTTTAAAATTTAATTGAAATTGCTTTTAGAAAATTAATGAAAATTTGATTCTGGAGAGAACAAAATCGGGAATCGGAGGTCCAAAACGCAATTT